TGGTCGTTCCATCGCCAACCTCTGCATCCTGAGCGCGAGCGATGTCGACCAAAGTTCTGGCCGCAGGATGGACAATATCCAATAATTTGAGGATTGTCGCGCCATCGTTGGTGATCTGAGCGTCCCCCCGATCGGAAACAATCAGCTTGTCCATTCCCCTCGGTCCAAGGGTGCTGGACAAAGTTTCCGCAATCGCAAGACATGCTGCAATGTTGGAAAGTAGCTGGGGATTTCCCTGCGATGTGTCTGTGCCCTCCCGAAGGAGGACAACAGTAGGTTGCTGCAAAATATGTTTCAGCAATGCCTAGATAGACCTGGAAATAGTCCGCACCATGGGGAGACCGCGTTGCATTTTTGAAGGGAGGGTTTGCGCGAGCTTGGCAAAAGCCTTGAGCCTGTAGTGACGCGTGATGTGTGACGTCACGCGACCGCTGCAGAGACGCGTCTACCGCAAGTCCACCGTCAACTAGGACCATCCAAGACACACGTCCAACACGATGTCGGACTCTGAAATGGCTGTGAACGAACGCCCCCCATTATTCTTTGCTGGCTCAGACGATGAGGACGAAGAGGACGTGCTTATGGAGGAGGAGCCTGAGACCGGGCCTTCCAGTTCTCGAGCTTCGTCGCGTCCGACAAGTCTGTTCTCAGACGAAGGCAGTGGGGATGAAAAGGACGTCGGTCCTCAAAAACAAAAAAGAACTATCTATGTGGTCGATGATTCGGACACGGAGGCCAAGGTGGAGAGCGCCTCTTCGTCCCAACCCAAAGCCGGGCCATCTCGTAAAAGTCCCAAGAAGCCTAGCGCCCCGCCTCCCGCCAAGAAGCGCCGCGTGTCTTCTCCTACTGCCCCAGGCTTCCAGCCTACCTTCATCGGCGAAATGGTCTTTGCCCACGCTTGGAGTAACGTCTCAGGAAAGGGGTATATCAAGGTCAACGAGGAAGTTAAAATCATGCGGGAGCCGCAGGAGGTGAAGAAGAGTGCAGGCACCAAATCTGAGACGAAGAGCAAGAAGACGGGAGACGGCAAGAAACAGATGTCGCTCACAGCGATGCTGAAGCAACCGGCCAAGAATAAGAATAAAAAGACGGACAATATCGTGCGGCTCTACAACTCACGGGGCTTTGGTACGCTGCTCCAAATTTGCAAAGGTGAAGCTAATTCGTTCGTGAAGAATTCGGCCGTCTACCGCAAGACGTATCATCCTGGACAGCCAAGCTTCTCGATCTCGGTATGTCTGGAGCTGTGCTTGCGGCAAACCTCTGAAATTTCACAGGGATTATCGAGTTTCGCGGTAAAATGATGGATTGCCCGGAGAAGCTATCTACGGGAGCGACCCTCATCGTCACAGCAGACGTGTACCTGCTCAAGGGCGCCTTCAAGGCTTCAAAAGCTACTGCGGACGACAAACCGACCGTGATGTTCTCCGAGGGGACAGAAACCCTCGACGAACAAACGCTGCGCGAAAGAAAGGCGTCCGTCCTCAAACTGTTTGACGCTCTCAATCTACGGCCTCAGGCCGGCGCCAACTTTAGCGGGCGCAAGTCCGACGAGCAGATCCACGAGGAGGCCATGAAGAAGATAGCGCAGCGCAAGTCCAAGAAGGTCAAGGAGATTGTGGGCGACGGCGAGGAGATCGAAGTGGAGGAGGGAGAAGAGTTGACCGAGAACGATCTTGATAGGATCTACCGCAAAGCACAGAAGAGCGATCGCACTATGGGCGAGATGGAGCCGCCGAGCACGTTTACTTTTACGCTTCGCGGGTACCAGAAGCAGGCGCTTCTGTGCGTCGCACTTCTGTCGAGTCTCCATATATCTGACCGAGCGACAGATGGATGCATTCACTCGAACTCGGCAAGATGGATGCGCGCGAGGCGTCTTCCATGCACCCGCTGTGGAGCCAGTAAGTCTCGACTGTTTTTCCTGGGCTGCGTGGTTTGACGTCGATTCAGATACGCGTTTCCACATCCCCGCGACGGAGAAGTCATCGATCTAACTGCGGACGAAACCCCTTTTTATTTCAATCCATACTCTGGTGAGCTCACCTTGGACTTTCCAAAGGCAGAGAGAAAGGGGAGGGGCGGAATTCTTGCGTTCGTCGGATTCTTGATAGTTTTCTTCCCCATTTAATCCCTTCCTCAGTGACGGTAAAGTGGTATACTTCACCATATGTTCTGAACTTACCTTGCCTTTCAATCCCAACAGAGAGTAAGCAACTTCCTTGCCCTGTTTTTTCCCCAAACTAATGTATTTATCTATTTAGTGGGCAGTAAGGGCATTTCCTATCACTCTCTTAACTACTCACGTTTCTACCAGTGGGGAAGACTATCGAACTTGCCGCACTCATCCATACCAACTGCGCGCCTGATACTGAACAGCTTCCGGTGGAAGATCCCGCACCCGGAACGAAACACCGTCAAATGAAACTCAACAACGCGTTTAAGAAGACACCCCGTCGCAAAACCCAGGCAGCCCCGTCCGCAACACTAATCGTCGCTCCTACATCGTTGTTATCCCAATGGGAGGGAGAGCTGCAGCGTTGCAGTAAACCCGGGACGCTCAAAGTCACCTTATGGCATGGCCAGAACCGGCTCGATCTGGAGGATGTCCTCGAGGACGACGATGACGAGGACACGATCAAGGTCGTCATCACGTCGTACGGCGTTCTCGCATCAGAACACGCGAAATCCGAAAAGTCGAGCTCAAAGTCTCCTGTCTTCGAGAGCAAGTGCTATTGTCGCTCAGAAAAGATGAATGCTAAACTACATCATTAGTCGAATGGCTTCGCGTCGTACTCGATGAGGCGCATTCGTGCAAGTCACGTTCCAGCAAGACAGCGAAAGCCGTTTACGCGCTACATGCTCGCAGACGATGGGCTGTAACAGGTATGCTTCGTCCAGCACGGAAAACGCTCAGACCTGACCTCCGTCAGGAACCCCTATCGTCAACAAGTTGGAGGATTTGTATTCGCTCTTGAAATTCCTCGACTTTCAGCCATGGTCCGACTTTTCATTCTTCCGCTCGTATGGGCTTACGTTGTTCTCTTCATTCGGCCCATTGACTTGAATTCTAGATTCATCACCTTGCCGTTCCTGGCCCGGGATCCGAAGGCCATAGAGATAGTCCAGATAATCCTCGAGTCGATCCTGTTAAGACGAGAGAAAACCATGCTGGATACGAACGGTAAACGGATAGTCGAGCTGCCTCAGAAAGAAGTACGGCAGGCTGCCTTGATACAGCTTGGTGATGCTGACTTTCGCGCCAGGTTACCGTGGAATATCTCGAATTCTCCTCCTTGGAGAGGAAGATATACAGCAGCTTATTCAATTCTGCTAAGCGAGACTTTCAGCGACTCGATGCTAAGGGCCTGATCGGCAAGAATTACACTCATATCTTGGCGATGCTCATGCGGTGCGTGCCTTTCTCGTAGGTAGGTTCGGGGTGCCCATGATTCTAACGATTCGACAGCCTGCGCCGGGCCGTGCTTCACCCAAATCTTGTGCTCTCCTCCGACGATCAACGTTCCCTGCCTCGGGAAGACGGCGAAGAGACCGTAGACGTGAACGAACTGATCAAGCGTTTTGCAAACGACGAAGAAACGGGAGAGAGCAGCGGCAGCGGCAACGTGTTTGCTCAGAACGCGCTCAAGGACCTCCAGTTGGACGAAGCCGACGCGGAGTGTCCCATGTGCATGGACGTCATGCAATCCCCCATGATTATCCCGGAGTGCATGCATCGCTGGTGAGTGAGTCGCGACCTTTATATGGATCCAGCTCAAGACCGACTCTAGCTGCAAAGACTGCATCGTCACGTATTGCGCTAACCTTGAGGAACGTGGAGAGGAACCTCGGTGTCCGACTTGTTCGCACGGGCCGTTCAAGGTTGGCATTCCGAGTCGTACCCTGTCGCTGGCCTCTGAACACCGGGTACAATAGGAGGGCGACCTCATTGAGGTCTTTCGCCCACCGAAGAGTTCTCAGGATCCTCAACCTGATGTGGTTCTGAGAAAGAACGACTTGAACTCATCCACGAAGCTCGACGCCCTAGTCCAAAATCTCCGTAAGTGAACGGTGTTGACAATCATCGTGTCTTACTCCTTCATGTCTAGGCAAACTGCGCGAACAAGATCCTTGTTTCCGGGCTGTCGTGTTCTCGCAGTTTACATCCTTCTTGGACCTTATACAGGCCGTGCTGAAGCGAGAGCGTTTCGAGCAGTATCGCTTCGATGGCTCCATGGATGTCAAGAAGAGGGGTATGGCGCTCGACGAGTTCAGGGCTCCGACGCGGAAACCGAAGGTTCTGGTCGTGAGCTTGAAAGCGGGAGGAGTGGGATTAAATGTGAGTTTCACGACGCTGGATCTCGGCATCTCAATCCTTACAACTCCACCAGTTGACTACCGCCAACCACGTCTTTATGGTGTGCGGCTTGCTTTCTGCTTGGTACTCGCTAACGCGTTCAAAGATGGACTGCTGGTGGAATTCCGCCACTGAATCTCAAGGTGAGCATATTTCCCTATCACACAGGGCTTGCATTGACGCCGATCAAAGCCATTGACCGGGTCCACCGAATCGGCCAGGAAAAGACGGTGTATGTGAAGCATTTTATCGTGAGTGCCATGTATGTATTGCTGTTGTTTTTGGTTCGACGACGAGCAGGTTTCGAACACCATCGAGGGCCGCATCCTGCGTATCCAAAAGCGGAAGACCGCTATTGTCAAGGAGGCGTTCCGTGGGGGCAAGCCGAGCGGTGGAACGGACCCAGAGAGCATCGAGAACCTCAAGATTATGTTTGGAGAGGATGCTGATGAGGAGTAGTTGGAGCATAATTCACATTTTATAATTGCAGTGCGGCGAAGAATTAGATCGAAATGATAAAACTTGCAAACAGCTGCCCTGGGCGACGAAGCTTAGAGAACTCAAGTGCAATGCGGCAGGAAGAATCTGAGCCCCTAAAATTGGGCTTATCGGAAACAAAAAAAAGTTCGACAAGGTCAAAACATGATTGGAGTGGGATTCGAACCCACGCCCTTTCGGACCAGATTGCTGGGTGTGAACCCTGGCAAGTGTTGCTCCACTGAAGAAGCTGATCCTTAGTCTGGCGCCTTAGACCGCTCGGCCATCCAACCACATGGCATGATGGGCTGTGCGTGGGCTGTGATGGGCTGTGCGTCTATGTGTCTGTGTGTCTGTCTCTGTGTGTCTGTCTGTCTGTCTGGTTCACCGACGGATCAGCTGGGTGCACTTAACGATTATGTCCCACAGCCACTGATGGCACATACCGCGGGCCCATAGAATCTCGGATTTGTGCTGCCCCGTATTTCACAAAAATATTTGTGCAGTATACAACACAAGGCATAAGTTGGCTGACAGTTTTTTTAGCCATGCAAGTGTGCCAATAACTGCGCTGCGCCATTCGCAGTGTGACCGGCCGATTCCGGGTGATGGTAACGTCACTGGCACATAACTTATGTGCCATCCACCATCGTTCCTCGTCCCAGCGGCCTCTTTGCGATCTGTGTGCCTCGGAAACTATTCAAAACATAACTGCTGGTGCCTCCAGATGCTCTGGCAATTTCCCATTCCAGTTTCCGCATGCGCGGCCATCAAATTACAAAATCTGTGTTCGTCGAAGATGGTCAGCCTTTCGAGATTCAGCGGCTACTCAGATTTTCAGAAACACTTCATACTACTCTTTGACTCCTTCCCTCCACTCTCTATGGCTCCGGAGGATCTTCAATTGCAGAACTAGATTGCATTTCAGAACCTTGTCACAACCTCCACGGTGCACCGCTCTGAGAATGCTCGTGCATGTCGCGGCCTACAACATTCTTACTATGGTTTTGACCAATGTGAGGCTGCAAGACATTCCCTGGATCCCTTAAACGGTTGGCTACCTTTAACCATCAAAATACCTCTGAAACCGTCGCAAGGACGGCAGGTTGCTTCAGACTTTCATCAAACAACTTGAGCATCGAATTTTTATGCTAAACCTCATAATCCATGCTCTTCAGTTCCCCTTGCTCCTCCTGGTGTCGATTCAGTGTTGGTTGACTGAGTTCCATGTATATTTTAGCTTCGCACGGTCGGTTTTACTGGAACATTTGGCCGTGATAAGAGCTGCAAAGTCGAAGTTTCAAGCTCTACATGAGTTCGTTGAGAGCTAGTGTAATTTTTCCGAAGTATCCTTGAACTCCCTCCTTTTTCCCTCTTTTGCATTCTTTTTTTGCGTTTTTCCCCTTTTGGCGACCCAGTACAATGGTCGGAAAACCCTGTCTGGTTCACCGACGGATCAGCTGGGTGCACTTAACGATTATGTCCCACAGCCACTGATGGCACATACCGCGGGCCCATAGAATCTCGGATTTGTGCTGCCCCGTATTTCACAAAAATATTTGTGCAGTATACAACACAAGGCATAAGTTGGCTGACAGTTTTTTTAGCCATGCAAGTGTGCCAATAACTGCGCTGCGCCATTCGCAGTGTGACCGGCCGATTCCGGGTGATGGTAACGTCACTGGCACATAACTTATGTGCCATCCACCATCGTTCCTCGTCCCAGCGGCCTCTTTGCGATCTGTGTGCCTCGGAAACTATTCAAAACATAACTGCTGGTGCCTCCAGATGCTCTGGCAATTTCCCATTCCAGTTTCCGCATGCGCGGCCATCAAATTACAAAATCTGTGTTCGTCGAAGATGGTCAGCCTTTCGAGATTCAGCGGCTACTCAGATTTTCAGAAACACTTCATACTACTCTTTGACTCCTTCCCTCCACTCTCTATGGCTCCGGAGGATCTTCAATTGCAGAACTAGATTGCATTTCAGAACCTTGTCACAACCTCCACGGTGCACCGCTCTGAGAATGCTCGTGCATGTCGCGGCCTACAACATTCTTACTATGGTTTTGACCAATGTGAGGCTGCAAGACATTCCCTGGATCCCTTAAACGGTTGGCTACCTTTAACCATCAAAATACCTCTGAAACCGTCGCAAGGACGGCAGGTTGCTTCAGACTTTCATCAAACAACTTGAGCATCGAATTTTTATGCTAAACCTCATAATCCATGCTCTTCAGTTCCCCTTGCTCCTCCTGGTGTCGATTCAGTGTTGGTTGACTGAGTTCCATGTATATTTTAGCTTCGCACGGTCGGTTTTACTGGAACATTTGGCCGTGATAAGAGCTGCAAAGTCGAAGTTTCAAGCTCTACATGAGTTCGTTGAGAGCTAGTGTAATTTTTCCGAAGTATCCTTGAACTCCCTCCTTTTTCCCTCTTTTGCATTCTTTTTTTGCGTTTTTCCCCTTTTGGCGACCCAGTACAATGGTCGGAAAACCGTCTGTCTGGTTGTCTGGTTCTGTCTGGGTCTGGTTGTGTCTGGTTGTCTGGTTGTCTGTTTGCTGCCCGTTCTGGTGTCTTTGCCTTTTTCTCGTTCTTTTTGGTGTGGAAGCCTGAGAATGTGACAGGTTGCAGTTCAAAATCCTTGTTTGCTGCCCGTGCTGGTGTCTTTGCGGTTTTCTCGGTTTTTTTGGTGGTGCGGACGAAGACAGGCTGCAGTGAAAAATCCTTGTTTGCTGCCCGTGCTGGTGTCCTGGCCATTTTCTCGTTCTTTTTTGGTGCGGAAGAAGACTTGCTGCCGTTGCGCTGTTCAAAATCTTTGTTTTCGCCCCGTGCGGGTGTCGTTGCATTCTCGTTCTTATTGAAATATTAGAAGAAGACTGGTTCCCATCGCGCAGTTTCAAAATCCTCATCGGCTCAGGATTTCCTTGAACAGGGAGGCTCAATTCGAGAGCGACCGTAAAGAACAAGAGGACAACTCTATGACGGCTTCCTCAAGGATGACGGAAGAAAAGTGTAGTGCTGGCTCCGAGCAGCATTGAACATCAATGACGGTCTGGTGCGCCTAAATTACCCCATTGAAATTTGATTCCTCCCAAACTTCCATATTTGGACGAAAGCGTCGCGGTGTTGTCGGCTGTTTATACCGGCTGTAACTGCAAAGTCTGGAGTTTTCCGCGCGCAATTTTTATGGGGTGCGCGGCCGTTGCTCGCACGACGATAGCCTTACTGAAAGAGTAGGAAAAAAAGAAGAAGAAAGCAGACAAATGAAAGCACTGGCGTCAGACACATACGACTGTCATCAATTGTCCCAAAGCACATTATGTGCTGGGCTCGTTCAATCTACGTGTAGTAATGTAATCGTAATACATATTAGGTCCAAATCTACCTGCGGTTTTGGTGCTGCGCGTGCATGTATAGTGTGTTGGTGGTGGTGATACAGTGCATCCTGTCGCGATTCATGATTCGCGCTACTTCGTCTACGCCTCCTCCACCTCCGCCGTCTTCTCCGCATCCTTCGCCGGCGCCGGTGCTGCCTTCACAATCCTCAAATTCTTGATCCCCAGCGCCGAGATGAGCGCGAGCCCCGCCACCGGCACGCCCAGCACAAACACGATCTTCAGCGCGCTCGTATACGCCTGCACGACACCGGGTATCATCTCCGCAGGCAGCGCCGTGTAGATCGCCGTCGGGCTCTCCTTCACCACGCTCGCCGGCGCGTCGGGCGCATACTGCAGCAGATACTTGGCGAGCTCGGACGCGAAGACGGGCTCGGCGACGCCGAGGCCGACGGTGCCGCCGAGGAACTGCGCAAAGGAGCCCATGGAGGTCGCTTGGCCCAGAAGTCGGGGCGTGTTGCGGAACTCGACCTGGATGGCGAGGAGCGAGTTTTGCATGCCCATGCCGGTGCCGACGCCTGCGAGGATCTGGAAGCCGACGATGGAGGCGCTGGAGGAGGACGGGGAGAGGGTGTACAAGAGTCCGGAGCCGACGGCCAGGAAGCACGGAGCGACCATAAGGAACGGCCAGCTGATAGAATTGCGTTGAGACTTTGAATGAAAAGCGGAGGGATAAACGCACTAGTATCCAAAGCGCCCGACGACCTGTCCAGAGGAGATGACTGTCACTACGACTCCCAACATGAAGGGGAGCAAATCAATCTGGAGACCTGTTAGTCCTGAATATGTAAACACAGATCCAGCAACCCACCCCAGATTTCGTCGCGCTATGGTGACGCACGGCCTGGTAGAAGATCGGGATGTAGTACGAGAACAGCAGAAGCGAGAACCGGGTGAGGAACGAGTACGCGAGGATCGCCCACACGGACCGCGTCTTGAAGATCGACGTGGGGGTCATGGCGCGCTCGCCGAGGTATATCTCCCAGCCGACGTACAGCGCGGTTGCAACGGCTGCGAAGACGAAGCACTAAATTATCATGATCAGTCAAATATGGGTAGCGAGAAATGGAGGGGCGCACGATGATGACGTCCTTGTCGCTCCACGGCTTCGTGTTCCCGCCCCACTGCAAAGCGAGCACCATGGATGTGATGGCTGCGGCGACGAACGTCGCGCCGAGGAAATCGAGGCGCAGCACCTGTTGGAAAATGTCCCCCCAACTGCGCTTCGTGGGGTCCGAGCCCAGTGGCGGCGCTGCCTTGAGCAGGAACACCACTGCGGTGAGGGAGATGCCGCCGATAGGCAGGTTGATGAAGAAGCACCAGCGCTGGTTTGAACGTCAGACGGAGGACCGCAGGGGAAAGAAAATGCAGCGCACCCAGGAGACATGGTCGGTGAATGCACCGCCAATTAACGGCCCAATCACGGAGGACAGCCCAAAGACGGCGCCGAACAGGCCAAAAAGGCGGGGACGGTCCTCAAGACGGGTAACCTGGGAGATAATTTGGATCATCGCGACGACTGTAGGGAATCTTTAGACGTGGCGGTGAAAGGATCCGGAAAGAGCGCACATATTCCTGCCGCTCCGAGACCCGAGACGGCGCGCCCAGCAATCAGCTGGTCGACGTTCTGCGCCACGCCGCAGACCAAACTCCCGATTTCGAATATGGTTATCGAGGACACGAGAACCCACTTGGCGGGGAAGATGCGGAGGAGTTGGCCGTAGAAGAGGATGAAGACCGTCTGGGCGAGCACAAATGACGTTGCGACCCACCTGCGAAGAGTTGGCCTTGCGGTAAATCGAGGAGTGTAAGACCCACCCCTGGAGACTGAACGCCTGAAAGTCCGAGGCTATCCGAGGCAACGCCGTGGACAGAATGGTTTGGTCTAACGCGATG